ATAGTTGTGGTTTTATTTTTATTTTTTATTTTATTTTACTTTTTATTTTTTTATTTTTTTTTTATTTTTTTTTGCTAAGCTGAAAACATGAATATGTATATATTTTTTTATTTAATGCTTGCAATGCAGATTCAATTAGAACCCCTAATTATATACAGTTAGGTCCATAAATATTTGGACATTCATTCAAACATTTTTTTGGTCAATACACCAGCATAATAGAAATGAAACAACCAAGATTTGCTTTAACTGCAGACTGTCAGCTTTAATTTGAGGAAATTTACATCCAAATCAGGTGAACGGTGTCAGAATTACAACAGTTTGCATATGTCCCTGACCCTTGTTAAGGGTCCAAGGGTTGCATTTGGAATCTGTTACTGTCAACTCTCAAGATGAGATCCAAATAGCTGTCATGACCAGTCAAGGAAGCCATCATTAGGCTAAAAAAATAAAACGAAGCAGTCAGAGAGATAGCAAAAAGGTAGAGATAGCAAAAAGGGTGTTTTTCCCTGGTAAAGAAAACACCCTTTACAACAGTTGTCCAGATCAAGAACACTCTCCAGGAAGTAGGTGTATCTGTGTCAGAGTCAACAATCAAGAGAAGATCTCACCAGAATGAATACAAAGCGTTCACCACAAGATGTAAACCATTGGTGAGCCTATAAAACAGGAAGGTCAGATTAGAGTTCTAAAAACTTATTCACAGTGCTGGAACAACATCCATTGGACAGATGAGATCATGATCAACTTGTACCGGAGTGAGAGGAAGAGAAGAGTATGGAGAATAAAAGGAACTGCTCATGATCCTAAGCAGTGAAGCATGGTGGTAGTAGTGACATGGTGTGGACAAGTATGGCTGTTAATAGAACTGGTTCTCTTGCATTTATTCATAATGTAAAAACAGCACGAGGAATTCTGAAGTGTTTCAGGCAATATTTTTTGCTCATGTTAAGCCAAATACTTCAGAACTGAATCCAATTGAGCATGCATTTCACTTGCTGAAGATAAAACTGAATGGAAAATGCCCCACGGACAAGCAGGAACTGAAGACAGTTGCTGTAGAGGCCCGGCAAAGCATCACCAGGAATGAAATCCAGTGTCTGGTGATGTCTATGCGTTCCAGACTTCTGGCTGTAATTGACTCCAAAGGATTTGTAACCAAGTATTAAAAATTGAAAGTTTGATTTCTGAGTATTATTCTGTACAATTACTTTTGGGCCCTTAACAAGTGGGAGGCGCATATGCAAACTGTTGTAAATACACTGTTCACCTGATGTGAATGTATAATACTGACAGTTAAAGCACATCTTGGTTGCTTCATTTCAATTCCATTGCGTTGGTGTATAGAGCCAAAAATGTAAGAATTGTGTCGATGTCCAAATATTTATGGCCATATATATATATATATATATATATATATATATATATACACTAAAATATCTACTAAAAGACAGAAAGTGTTACTCTACAAACTGTATTGTACACACATCATCTACACACTTGCATTTGTTTAGTATTATGGCTGAAATGAATATACTGAATAAAAACACTTTCCTGTAGATTTTTGTAGCTGCAGATTTGTGTGCCCTACTTATACGACTATGGAAGTCTGGGAAGTCCTGGGAAAAGTGTTGTTAAAGCTGTTATGCAATAAAAAAAGTAAAATTTTAAATATACCCTAAGCTTTTAACCTTGTTTTGTTCGACAGGAAATCCCATGACAGCGGTGTACGCCATCCCAGCCACCCGTCCAGGATACACAGGATATTTCATTTCCACACCACCCTCCTCCTATCACAGCCCTTCCTGGATGTCTTACCCACCTGAACCTGAGGATGTGCCTCCTCAGTGGGCAGAATCAGTAAGAATGCATAAATCACACAGTCTTCTATCATTCTATCCAATTCTGCTTCACAAACTGGGTTGCATCCCAACACCGCAAAGTTACAATGCATGTATCATTAAAAGAATTGAATGCAGTGTAAACCTCATGGACTGCAACCAAAGGAAGCAGAACTGGTCTGTCACATGTGTCTCTATCCACCTTTTTTTCCCACAAGTGATGATTACGTTTCAAATTATGGGCTTAGAGAACTTCAATTCAAATGAACTGAAACAAATGACTTCAAATAAGAAGGCTGTGTTAGAACTATTCTATATACATACAGTTCTCAGCGTAAACGATTGACCCTTTTGAAAATAATTTTTTTTTATCCATTTCTCTGTGAATATTTAAACAAAACAGTTTTAATAAACTGTAATATTATTTAATAATCTTTATTATAATTAAGTACAATCATTCATTCATTTTCTTGTTGGCTTAGTCCCTTTATTAATCTGGCGTGCCACAATGGAATGAACCGACAACTTATCCAGCAAGTTTTTACGCGGCAGATGCCCTTCCAGCCGCAACCCATCTCTGGGAAATATAATTAAATAGAGTTTGATTAATTGACATCTTTATGAACAGATACATAATACATTGAAATTCGAATGAGTTATTGGAAAAAAATATATATATATAATTGCACGTTTCCCTTTATTTTTCCTGTTTATTAAAATGCTGTTTTAAGTATCCCCCATCATATTCATTTGGGTGTATTTATTTTTGAACTGTGATCTTAAGTTTATTTTTTTTATTTTAGGTTTGGTCCCTATTTTGGCTTTGGTTTTGACTAATCTAATATATATATATATATATATATATATATATATATATATATATATATATATATATATATATATATATATATATATATATATATATATATATATATATATATATATATATATATATATATATATATATATCTCTCTCTCTATATATATCTCTCTCTATATATATATATATATCTATATATCTCTCTATATCTATATATATATATATATATATATATATATATATATATATATATATATATATATATATATATATATATATATATATATATACATATATATATATATATATATATACATATATAGATATATATATATATATATATATATATATATATATATATATATATACACATATATATATGTCTATATATATATATATAT